ACGGCTGTGTTGTTTTTCTGTGGTTCTCTGAAGATCACGTCACGGCTCCGCCTACACTGCGTTACTATAGATACTACCCCAGTTCCTAAACTGTAATGGAAATGCGCCATAAAGTGAGCCAGTCCTAACGAGGCCCAGCCATACCGAGCGGGGCCGAGCGAGGCCGTGTAGTGGAAACGCGCCATAAGTGACACAGGTCCACATCTTTCCAGCATTCATAAACACGTGGTAGGTGGCAGATGGAGCACGAGCAAGAGCCCAAGGGGGGAGGAGGTCGTCACACGTTTAAGAATAGGACACCCAGGACTAAACAAACGCTAGACTGTAATTAACTGGAAACTGTTGAACATGTCTTAATAGATGGAGAAAAATATGATGCGCTGACCTCCTGACCCCGTCGCATGCTCTGTCGGACCCACGTCATCCAGACCATGGCCTCGTTTCTCTGAAGCACCAGAGCAGAGAGGGAGGGAGGGCATGGACTAAGAGACCATCTACAGCTGCAGGGAAAGGATCTCCAACTATTTTAACGGATTGATAAAATAAATGTTTTTAATGCAGAATTTCTTTAACCCTCCTGTTGTCTTCGGGTCAAATCTGACCGATTTACTACTTTCATCAATCATAACTTTTTTGTTTTACATTCGATTGCATTAAGGCTTTATGATATCCTTCACAGTAGACATTTGAACATATCAAATTGCTGATCACCACTTTCATTGAATTTTGGATGATTTAGTCAACTTTGTAACACCCATGGTGTTCCCGGTCACAAATGACCGCCATAAAGAAATGGAATTAGTAAGCATCCGGATCAGATAAAACACACACACACACACACACACACACACACACACACACACACACACACACACACACACACACATACTCTAGATGTGTCCCCCCCCCTTTATGTGCCCATCCCCCCACATCGATCACACCTGGCACACGCAATATGTTCAGTGTCTGTTCTTTGTATATTTACTGCAGTTTTTCAAGTACACCAGTAGTTTGATACAGTTTGAAAGGGTGTTAAATGAAATGTGGTGATGATTAATGGTTTTTGTGTTAATGTAATAGCAGTGTAAACAGGACCGGACAAATTTGACCGCGAACACCAAAGTAAGGGGGGGGAAACGAAGACAATAGGAGGGTTAAAGACTGATTCCTACGGTGACCGACCGGTTCAAACGCGCTACACAGCCCCAAAGATTTGATTATGAGGAGAAATGCAGTGCAGCTTGAGAAACGATGCAGATGTTAAAAACAAATGTTCCAAAACACATGAAGAAACATCTTTAGGAACTTGAGGAAACATTCTTTTGTAGATTAAAATCATAATCATAATCAAAATGTTCCTTTATTTGTGATGTTTACTTTAACCAACATCTTAACAAAAAATTACACTCTCTTTTTATGGCCTTATTTGTTCTTTGATGTTTCCACTCAAACGTTTGCGATATTTTTTAGCAGTCATACACTTTATGTATGTCATCATTTATTCACAAAATATGTTATCCATAAATCAACTTTCACACCTCGGTTGAGAGGAAAAACCTAGACATGTCTTGTGTTTTTTTTTAGGATTTGTTAAATTGTTCTGCATTTCCTCCCAATTTAGTTTCCCTTTCCACTTTATCTTTTGTCAATTCCACTCAAACTTTTTCACTTTTTTCTTTGTCATTTTCATTCACTTTTTTTAGAAGACACATGCTTCATGTATGTCATCATTTATTGATTAAAACTTGTATTAATTCATCAACTCTTCAGAGATGAAAAGTATATAAGTAGATTAACTCATGTACTTACTTAAGTTACATTTTGATGTACTTATACTTTACTTGAGTATTTCCTTTTTCTGCTACATCCTTCACAGATCTGGATGAATGATGTGAAATATAACCAAGTGTTAAATCAGACTTTAGTTCCACCTGGAGTAAATCCACAAGCTACCCTGCAGTATACAAAGTCATTCAAACTAGCTGCACCTTTACCAGCTTTGAGAACACTTTCATGATCAATCATTATAAAACATATCATATATATTATTCTGAAATGGACCAATCTGCACAATGACTACTTTTACTGTCGCTACTTTCACTATATTTTGATGAGAATACTTTTCTACTTTTACTTGAGGAACATTTTGAATGCAGGACTTTTACTGTAACAGAGTATTACTACACTCTGGTACTTCTACTTTTACTCAAGTACAAGATCTGAGTACTTCTACTTTTACTCAAGAACAAGATCTGAGTACTTCTACTTTTACTCAAGTACAAGATTTTTCAAGGCTTTTATTGTCATGTGTACATTAGCTACAGTGTAGTTATGACAATGAAAATCTTACTGTAGGTCACAGGCTCCTCCAACAGTGCAACACAATAAACAGATAAAATATTACAAGTAAATACAAAAAAAATAGAATAAAATAGAATATAATAGAAACAGAATATGATAGAAACTGTGCAGAATAGTCTATATACAGTAATTGGAATATTCATATGATATAAGTTGCAGACAGATGAATGTTCTTTCAAAAGTGCAGGTGTTTAATAGTCTTATGGCCTGTGGGATGAAACTATCTCTGAGTCTGGTGGCTTTAGACCTCATGCTGCGGTACCGCCTGCCAGACGGCAGCAGACAGAACAGATCTGAGTACTTCTACTTTTACTGAAGTACAAGATCTGAGTACTTCTACTTTTACTGAAGTACAAGATCTGAGTACTTCTACTTTTACTCAAGTACAGATTTAAGTATTTTTCCCACCTCTGATATTTACTGACAGTGTTATTGCACACATCAGGGGTATTCCAGTCTATGTGTGGGGGGTCTGCAGGTCTATTAGTACACATATATTATCATATTATCATATAATAACGTTATATTATATTTTACAAGAAATGTAGAAATCTTGTCTGCATGAGAGATTTGACTTATTCTTATAAATGGAAAAGTGAAAATATACTATTCATATTGTTCAACTTGACAGATATCACCACATTTTCTGATATCTTTAAACCTAACATTGAGGTTTGAATATTCCTCAAAGCACAAGTGTTTTTTATTGATTCAACACTAGGAGGAAATACAAGTTAAAATGATCTGTATCTTATCTCTGAGGATGAAGATTAGCAGATTTGGTTTCTGGGAGATTTGAGATGAGACGCTGATTTCTGAGAAAGAGACACTTCTTTGTTTTCCGTCATGAACAGTTTGAGGTGTTGACGCTCGTCACGGTTAATTGGGTGTTCTCTAAGTGACGAACACACAACGTCAGCTAACCTGAGGCTCCATTAAACTCCAAGCACTCTGCGTTCACGTCGTTATAGTCCATCATCACTGAGAAACAAGGGAAATACTCTGCAGCTAAAAGAAAGTATTCATGGTCCGGTGAATATTTATCTTCCATTACACGTCTTCCTTCAGATTGGTGGAAGGAAAACATCCATTTACAGATTCAGGAGTTTATTTGACTAACTTAGTGTATCTACATTTCTTCTAAAACTGAATAACCCTCCACAATTGGTACATATTGTACTCTAACTTATAGAATTGTACACAGAAAATGTAAACAAATCATGAAATAACATTAAAAAAAGGAACCAAAAGTTGTATATGCATGTATATGTTCACTGTCTGTAAATATCAGAGGTAGTAGAAGTACTCAGATCTTGTACTTGAGTAAAAGTAGAAGTACTCAGATCGTGTACTTGAGTAAAAGTAGAAGTACTCAGATCTTGTACTTGAGTAAAAGTAGAAGTACTCAGATCTTGTACTTGAGTAAAAGTAGAAGTACTCAGATCTTGTACTTGAGTAAAAGTAAAAGTACTCAGGTCTTGTACTTGAGTAAAAGTAGAAGTACTGAGATATTGTACTTGAGTAAAAGTAGAAGTACTCAGATCTGGTACTTGAGTAAAAGTAGAAGTAGTCAGATCTTGTACTTGAGTAAAAGTAGAAGTACCAGAGTGTAGGAATACTCTGTTACAGTAAAAGTCCTGCATTCAATATGTTCCTCAAGTAAAAATAGAAAAGTATTCTCATCAAAATATACTTAAAGTACCAAAAGTAAAAGTAGTCATTGCAGATTTTTCCATTTTAGAATAATATATGATATGTTTTGACGAGTATCTCAACATTTTATTTAAGTACAGTACTTGAGTATTGTGTACTTGTACATATCTGCTATTTCTGTTTTGGTTTTTTACTTATTGTGTTATTAATAACGAGTGCATATTTAGCCATTTAAAAAAAATTGCACCTCACCTTATCTGCACTATTTGCTGTTGTTATCATGTGTATTTCCCCGCTGCGGGACAAATAAAGTGTTTTTGATTCTGATATATATCTTAACATAACTAATTTTGTCATGTATGCACATTTATGCAAAGTATTTTACAAACTTAAATATAACTTAGATCTGAAAAGCTCCTCAACTTTTAATTCAAATATACTCTAAACATTATTAACAGTAAATTGTTATAGTTCTATTGTTTTGATATTGTAGGATACATAGTTTTATAATAGTTGCATTGACAGCTAATATAAGATAAATAAAATATGAAATAAAGTTAAAAATCCAGTAAAACTATAGATATTGTTCCAACGTTTTGGAAATAGTTGACAGAACTTCTGCTAAAATAAATGAAGTCTAAATAAATAAATAAATGTCGTACTAGACGGATACACAGTTATATGCACGTTTTAAAAATGAAACATTAAATCTGTAATCCGCGGGTGAGAGTCGCTGAGCTCAGCAGCAGATTGGTGTTCAGTGTCCGTCAATAAGAGGCGATCACATCACACAGATCATTAACTGTGTGTGTTTAACTGAGTGCTGCACTCACACACACACACACACACACACACACACACACACACACACACACACACACACACACACACACACACACACACACACACACACACGCAGGTTGGAGGTGTATATAAGGAGGGGAGGCCTTCTTCTCTGCCTCACATCCAACAGCTCACCTCCTCCTCCTCTTCTTCATCACAGCATCTCCTCCTCCTCTACAGGTGAGATACATTTCTTTATTTTTTTAAATGTATTTTAATTATATTTTTTGAGAACATCATTTTACTTTAAATATTTTTCCTTTTTTCCAATATTTGTTCTTATTTATTCATTTGAATTCATACCAATTTAAATATAGTACTCAATAATAAAATGGTATGTACTGCTCAGGTCTTACTGCTGTAAAGTACTGTAGTAAAGTGCAGTAAAGTACTGTAGTAAAGTGCAGTAAAGTACTGTAGTAATACCACAGTGTAGAAATAATACTTTAAAATAAATAATAATAAACAGATTGTTATGGTTAGAAAAAATTCATAGATGTTTTTGAGAGACACAACAGCACTACTGCTAAATCAAATGAAACGTGTATGTATTAACAAAGTGTGTGTGTGTGTGTGTGTGTGTGTGTGTGTGTGTGTGTGTGTGTGTGTGTGTGTGTGTGTGTGTGTGTGTGTGTGTGTGTGTGTGTGTGTGTGTGTGTGTGTGTGTGTGTGTGTGTGTGTGTGTGTGTGTGTGTGTGTGTGTGTGTGTGGTGTGTGTGTGTGTGTGTGTGTGTGTGTGTGTGTGTGTGTGTGTGTGTGTGTGTGTGTGTGTGTGTGTGTGTGTGTGCAGCTCCTCCACCATGACGGCTCTGTGGCTCCAGTCCGTGTCCCTGCTGGTTCTGGTGCTGGTCTCTCTGCCGGGCTCCCGGGCCGCTCCGGGCCCTCAACACCTGTGTGGGTCTCACCTGGTGGACGCCCTGTACCTGGTCTGTGGGGAACGAGGCTTCTTCTACAACCCCAAGAGAGACGTGAACCCCCTGATGGGTGAGACCCCTGAAAACATCCTGTATCACTACAAATAAAAAGTGCATTATAATGAGTCACAGTGAGGATTGAAGTTGTTGTTTTAAGTTACTAATTTCTTTCAAAAAAGTGCCTTCTATTGAATAAAAGGTATTATTTTATTGGATTATAATGTGTAAGCAGTTGCTTTGAGTCTATTTTGTAGTAGTTTTGTGTATCTTAAGTACTATTACATATTTTTCGTGTGTCTCTGTAGACATTTGAACTCTTTTTAACTCCGATTTTTGGGACGATATAAGCTTTATGGAAAAAATCAAACCAGGATCAAAGTTGCACAGTGACAGGAACACAAAGGTTAAATCCCCGACCCCTCGTCTTTTTCCCGCCAGGTTTCCTCCCCCCGAAGGCGGCTGGAGAAAACGAGGTGGCAGAGTTCGGCTTCAAGGACCAGATGGAGCTGATGGTGAAGCGCGGCATCGTGGAGCAGTGCTGCCACCAGCCCTGCAACATCTTCGACCTGCAGAACTACTGCAACTGAACCACTCTGTGTAGCCTAGCTTAGCATCTCAGCTAACTCTCTGAAACCTAACCACCCCCTACCCCCACCCCCCGAAAAGGATGAAATTATTTTTCCTAGAAAATAAAGTTTTGTGAATTAAGAAAACTGTGTGTTTTTTATTAACGTGATTTTATTACTGTCTTCATTTTCATTGTATTATTATAATATTATTTTTTATGTTACATTTTAATTGAATTAAAATTAAAATTATTATATAATTTACCTATTTTTTTGTTACTGTTTGATATTAATATTTTCTTATCATTTGTATTTAACTTACTTTATATAGACCCTTTTATTATTATTAGAAGAAGGCTATTGATATTATATAATTACTTTATTTATACATTTTTATAGCAAAACATCTAAGCAAAATCAACTTTTTTTAATTAAAATGTAAATGTATTATCATCAAAATAAACTTAAAACTAAAAATACTCATGTAATTATATTAATGAAATCTAATTATTTAAATATTTATCTATGCATTAATGTCTTCAACACGCTAATGTTGCAGGTGGTAGGATAATACATAAAAAGCAAAAAATAATGAAATGTAATTAATTAATGAGCGATAAAAGTAAATACGTATAATACCTAATAAAAAACAACAAGCTAGATTAGTTTTAAATGCAATTAAAAAAAATCTTTGTTTTAAAAGGTGACGCTTACTTTAAATAAAAAAAAAATAAGCAATTAAAGTACTTTCAATAATACATTATATATTATTAGTTTAGTGTGGTTTGTATTATAAATCAGACGAGTTAACGTTACAAAAGGGGTTAAATAAATAGTAGAAAAATACAATATTTACCTCTTGGATGTAGTGGAATAAAAGTTAAAAAAAAATCCAGTTTAATATTTGTATAGAGTGGCGAAGTCCCTCCCCTTCCGGTTGAGCCCCATGGGACCTTATTTCGGAAAAGTTATGCATTGAAGTCAATGGAGAGAGAAAGATTATCTTTCGATCCCGTTTGAATTGTGCCACGAATTACACATATGATGTTTGTCAATTTAAAAGATAATTTTGCAAGTAAAAAAAAAAAAAATGTGTCGTAAAACTGTGAAGTAACACATTTGTTTGTGTGAAACGCTAAATGAACTACATCTCTGGTCAACCACACACGTCACCAAGATGGCCGTCACTACTGTCTTGTCAACAAACGATTGACTATCACCACAATGAAACACGTCCTGAAGAATGTCATGCAAAGCTGCCTGCCTGCCTTCCTTTGATTCTCTCTGAACTGCCTGGTCGTTTTAATGTTTAATGTCAACCATTTGTGCAGATAGCATGAAGTAGAAAAGATCGCCGATGCTAACGTGATGCTAGCATTTCTCCCCCGGAATTAAATGGTGTATTATAGAATGATCACACCGGTGACAGTACTATTCAAAGGGTTCACGAAATATGACTACTACTCTTACTGTTTAACATTTTGGGTTACTTAATGTTACTTCATGTTAAGGCTAATAAAAATGACAAGGCTGTAATGCTAACTAACGTGCTAGCTACTAGCTAGGTAGCTAACTTGATCAAGCCACTCCTGGTCGTTTCATCAGACGGGAAGCAAAAGAACGAGCAAGACCCATTGCTGGTATAATAACAACCTGGTACTAAGCACACAGGCATCTTGTTAAAGTTATCTTATCTTAGCCAGCGCCATATAGATAGATTATATCTATATTGCGCTGATCTTAGGTATCTGAATGGTGGAGGTAAACAATTGTGACATCACTTACGCGACTCTGGGATTTGTAGTCTTTCTAGTTACGTATTTTTCATAGTCTTATATTTCAACAGTTTTACGACAAACTGTGACTTTTTTGACATGGAAATTATTTTTTAAGATTGACAAACATCATATGTGTAATTCATGGCACAATTCAAACGGGATCGAAAGATACGTTTTCTCTCCCCATTGACTTCAATGCATAATTTTTCCGAAATAAGGTCCCATACCCCGGAAGTAAGTGGGAGGGACTTTGCCACTCTATAGAGTGGCGAAGTCCCTCCCCTTCCGGTTGAGCCCCATGGGACCTTATTTCGGAAAAGTTATGCATTGAAGTCAATGGAGAGAGAAAGATTATCTTTCGATCCCGTTTGAATTGTGCCACGAATTACACATATGATGTTTGTTAATTTAAAAGATAATTTTGCAAGTCAAAAAAAAAAAAATGTGTCGTAAAACTGTGAAGTAACACATTTGTTTGTGTGAAACGCTAAATGAACTACATCTCTGGTCAACCACACACGTCACCAAGATGGCCGTCACTACTGTCTTGTCAACAAACGATTGACTATCACCACAATGAAACACGTCCTGAAGAATGTCATGCAAAGCTGCCTGCCTGCCTTCCTTTGATTCTCTCTGAACTGCCTGGTCGTTTTAATGTTTAATGTCAACCATTTGTGCAGATAGCATGAAGTAGAAAAGATCGCCGATGCTAACGTTAGCGTTAGCATTTCTCCCCCGGAATTAAATGGTGTATTATAGAATGATCACACCGGTGACAGTACTATTCAAAGGGTTCACGAAATATGACTACTACTCTTACTGTTTAACATTTTGGGTTACTTAATGTTACTTCATGTTAAGGCTAATAAAAATGACAAGGCTGTAATGCTAACTAACGTGCTAGCTACTAGCTAGGTAGCTAACTTGATCAAGCCACTCCTGGTCGTTTCATCAGACGGGAAGCAAAAGAACGAGCAAGACCCATTGCTGGTATAATAACAACCTGGTACTAAGCACACAGGCATCTTGTTAAAGTTATCTTATCTTAGCCAGCGCCATATAGATAGATTATATCTATATTGCGCTGATCTTAGGTATCTGAATGGTGGAGGTAAACAATTGTGACATCACTTACGCGACTCTGGGATTTGTAGTCTTTCTAGTTACGTATTTTTCATAGTCTTATATTTCAACAGTTTTACGACAAACTGTGACTTTTTTGACATGGAAATTATTTTTTAAGATTGACAAACATCATATGTGTAATTCATGGCACAATTCAAACGGGATCGAAAGATAAGTTTTCTCTCCCCATTGACTTCAATGCATAATTTTTCCGAAATAAGGTCCCATACCCCGGAAGTAAGTGGGAGGGACTTCGCCACTCTATTACATTTTTTAATATAATGTTTCCCACCTGTAGGGGGCATTTGATTGTTTTCACCTGCTGCTCCCGGCGGGGCGGTGCAGGGCGGGGTCAGGTGTCGCTTTGTTTACTAATCCTCCTCTCTGCAGAATCACTTTTTTCCTCCGTGGAGAAGGAAACTCACCGGGACTAGAGAGCCTTTGAGTCTGGCGGAGAGCAGCCTCAGCCGGCCTCATGCACAGGAGCTGCTCGGTGCACTTCACGGTTCTTTCCCCCGGAGTTTCTGCGGAGAGTTTGCCCGGAAACAAGCAACGCGATGCGGGATGTTCACCTGGACAACGAGACCTGCAGGAACGGTACAACTCACTTCTCTTCTTTATCCGTTAATAGAGTTTCTGCCTCTTTATCTCACTAAGGGAACTGTTTGAGACCGTGTTTAAAGCTACATTTTCTCAGTTTAACATGTATTTCATTACTATTTAGAGTTATTAAATGCAGTGGCGTCATGTAATGAAGTGCATTTACTCAAGTACTGTACCTAAGTACAATTTAGAGGTATATTATATACTTTATACTTCTACTCCTCTACTTTTCTGTTGGTAGCCTACTATAAGTATATTTTGAGGCCAATACTTTTGTAGTTTTATTTCAGTAACATTTTGAATACAGGACTTTTACTGTAACAGAGCCTTTTTTATTTTACTAAGTCTGTGCACACACTGAAAACATTTTTCAGAAATTGTTCAAATACCCAGAGGCTGGCAATTCATTGGTTATATATAATAGGGAGAAGACTGAACATCAGTAGGAGAGGACTCTTTAAAGTAGAGACACTATATACTGATATACACCTGAACATCAGCAGGAGAGGACTCTTTAAAGTAAAGACACTACATACTGATATACACCTGAACATCAGCAGGAGAGGACTCTTTAAAATAGAGACACTACATACTGATATACACCTGAACATCAGCAGGAGAGGACTCTTTAAAGTAGAGACACTACATACTGATATACACCTGAACATCAGCAGGAGAGGACTCTTTAAAGTAGAGACACTACATACTGATATACACCAGAACATCAGCAGGAGAGGACTCTTTAAAGTAGAGTCACTAGATACTGATATACACCTGAACATCAGCAGGAGAGGACTCTTTAAAGTAGAGACACTACATACTGATATACACCTGAACATCAGCAGGAGAGGACTCTTTACAGTAGAGACACTACATACTGATATACACCTGAACATCATCAGGAGAGGACTCTTTAAAGTAGAGACACTACATACTGATATACACCTGAACATCAGCAGGAGAGGACTCTTTAAAGGCCCCTACACACCAGGCCGATATCGGCCGTCTTGCGTTGTTTGGCGACAACGGGTTCCTTGTCGCCCAAAGTCAATTTGGTGTGTCCCGAACCCTCGGCCGTGACACGCCTTATTTGGCCTTTCACGGTCGACACCCGGCCGATTCAACATGTTGAATCGGCCGGGTGTCGGACACAAGCTATCGGGCCAAGAAACCACTCTGATCAGCTGCTCAGCTAGCAAACGAGAAGCGAAACGGAAGTGAGGGACGTAAACAAACGATTAAAAAAGGCACAGGACAGCAGCTAAACCCCAGCAGGTGATACTTAAAAGACATCAAACATAGCCCTTAAATGTCCTCTCTTACCTCCCACACATAGCAGGGACATCTCTGATATCGGCGGGAGCGTCCCCGGCTGTCCTCTGCTGAGAGCTCCGTGATTTGTTTGGTCAAGTCCGGTTTTTCATCTCATCGTAAATTTAGCAAGAAGTGGCCATTATTACATTGCTGACTCAATAAACTACACACCCGCCAGAACACTGCGATCATCAGATGCAGGTCTATTAACTGTGATTTTATAGTATGTCTGCACTTTATGTGCTCATTTCATCATGCATGTATTTTTATATTCTAAAACATGTTTTCGATGGACCAGAGTGAAAATGGAACGCACACGCTATTTGTTTGTTTAGATCAGTCTGTTCTTCTTCTCTGTCTTCCGGTTGTTGCCTATTTTGAATGACGAATACACACACCACCGCCTGCTGGTAAGGAGAGTTATTGCCACTCACGCATGCGCAGTTCGTACGTGCTCGGCTGAAGTCTTTGCGGTGATTTCCAGTGCGACACACGGCCAAGACGCAGGAGAACTCGTCGATGGAACTGTCGGTGTCGGGTGTCGGCGAGTTCTCTGGTGACTGCCTGGTGTGTCAGGGCCTTAAAGGAGAGACACTACATACTGATATACACCTGAACATCATCAGGAGAGGACTCTTTACAGTAGATACACTACATACTGATATACACCTGAACATCAGCAGGAGAGGACTCTTTACAGTAGATACACTACATACTGATATACACCTGAACATCAGCAGGAGAGGACTCTTTAAAGTAGAGACACTACACACTGATATACACCTGAACATCAACAAAATAATAATAGTAGTTCATTACATTTATTAGAGCGCTTTTCCGAGTGCTCAAAGCGCTTGACATTACATTTGACACATACCAGACATGTAACAGTGAATACTATCGACAATACCCACAGGAGCAAATTAAAGCCCCTTTAATCGTATTCCCTCGATATCAAATTATTTATCAGACGTGAAACATTTCCCTCCGTCAGTGAGCACAGGGCCTCCGTGTTTGCAGAGTAAATATTGATTTTCTCCTCTTTGTTATGCCAGCTCTCCTCATCAGGTTACTCTGAGTCTGTGGTCAAACCAGTATTACTCAACTCTGCACACACACACACACACACACACATACATTCACGGGTCCACAGGGAGCAGAAACACACTCGGCAAACAACACTCACAGGAACATTTGAACACCGGTTTGTCTCCATGCTTTAATGTTCAAAAAGCTCTTTATTTTTCTCATACTGCCTGTATGAGAGAATGTGTATATCAGCACCTCTTTTCACCCTCTGTCTGAAACCAGATCGCATAATATGGCCCCTTTAACTTTATTTTGTCCTGTGTGCAAGGACTACACTGTTTTTTAGGGCTTTATGTGCATTAAACTGAATGTGAGAAGGACATCAACATCCAATATATTGTATTGTTTCTTCTATGGCTTTCTATGTATTTTTTTTTTTTGTATCTTGTGTTGGAATTGTCGTTGTTTAAGGAACTGTTTTAAGAGTCTTCTTAGGTGTAAACAGGATGTCAAAATTAAATTAAAAGCTTCTGCTCTGCAGGGTCGGGGGTGCGACTGTGGTGCGGCCCTCATTCTGTGGTGTGTTCAATCTCTGGAGATCAAACAACGCTACACACACACCTGGAGAACAGCACACTTACTACAGGTAACACACACACACACACACACACACCTCCTGCATACCTGTGTTCAGGATGGGAGGGGTCTTTGTTTAGGGTTAAAACTCTTCTCACTGCTTGTGTGTAAACATCCGTATTGTTCCAGGATCTCATTTAAAATCTGTTTATTCAAGAGGCAGGGTGTTTTTATAAAATCTAGTTATTGAATAGATTAAAGATTACAATTAGTATTATTATAATTATATTTATTCATTTTTTCCCCAGGTGTGATAAAGTGATTGTATTCTGTCTGCAGATGTGTATTCAGACAGCAGCTCTTACAGGCCGTGGCTCGGTCTCTCTCTGGCGCTGCTGTCGGCCGTCCTGATTGGTGGAAGCGTCATCCTGAAGAAGAAAGCTCTCCTCCGATTGGCCGACAGCGGAAACACCCGAGCAGGTGAGCAGAGGGAGGTCTCAAGTACAAGATCTGAGTTCTTCTACTTTTACTCAAGTACAAGATCTGAGTACTTCTACTTTTACTCAAGTACGTGCAGTAGTATACACCGAGTGCTGCCCTTAAAGGTCCCATGTCATGGCCATTTCTACTGATCATATTTCCATTGTTGAGGTATACTAAAATAGATTTTTATTGTGCAATTTTCCAAACTCACATTGGTTTCTCATACAGCATCTCTGTATAGTATGTGTATTCACTCTCTGTCCTAAACGGCTTGTTGGAGCTCCTGCCCCCCCCCCCTCCCTGTGAGCCCAGTGTGCTCTGATTGGTCGGGACGTTGCGAGGCTCGTTGCTGCGAGGAGCGGACAGGTTTCCGGGTCGGCGATACAGCGAGAACAAGCGAAACTCATCCTGAGCACACACAAACACTCACAGCCGAAGTAAAAACAATAAGTGTGGCTTGATATTGAGTAAGAAAAAGGTTTATAACGCTGTGAGAATGGGTCTGCGGAGAGCATTTCTCCGCCATCCCAACTCGTCTATTACCAGCGTTCAGGGAACTCTATGCAAGTCAATGGGGACTCCCTGTTAGTTAGCCAAGGGATCCTCGTGTGTGAGGTGCTCCACGGATTGGTCCATTTGGGCCTCCTCATCAGTCCACAGTTTCCCTAACAGGAAAAGGACCGGAGCTAGCTTTCGTTCCTGGGTGCGTTGTGCGAGGTGCATCCAACCCCCTGCAGCACATACTTTCCACAGCTGAGGCCATGGGCTGGCATTTCCCAAATTCCCAGACAAGCACCTATCAAACAAAACGTTTATCAGGAAACCGTATTACATCTCTCTCCCCCCCTTCGTTCCTCTCTCTCCCCCCCCTTCGCTCCTCTCTCTCTCCCCTCCGGTACACAGCACCGTAAGACGTAGTGTGGAGTTGCATTAGGTAACGCGAGATACGGCTGAAGCTTGCGCATTCGTTTCTGTTATGGATCAGTATCAACAGTCCTGCCAGTAACGTTACTATATTATCAATACTACTTTAGTTATAGCCTGATATATGATAGCTAACTTTACAATGTTGTGATGTGACCGACGTTAGCTAACATTAACTGTAGCTAATGCCGGTCACTCACCAAGACAGCTGCCCAGTTCTCCACTGATTCTCCTCACACCACAGCTCCATTTCTCTCCGATGGCCGTTATTTCTTCTAATCCTTGGCTGCTCCTGGTCTCTTGGCCGCCTAGCAGGCTCATAATTATAAGGTTGTGGTCCATCATATGCATACGAATATACATTTTCAACCTCTTCTTTGTCAAAACTAGCATTGTGATCCATGTTTATTAATACGGCCGCTCTCCCCCATGTGTCGTCACACGCCGGTGGTCTTTTTTTATGCGGAAGTAAAAATGTCTTACAAAAACGACGCCAGATGTCACTGTAGTGTATATTTCTGTATATTTTTTTGAAAATCTAGTGTATACATAATTTTCCTACACATTTATTCACTGGGGTCTCTAACCTGCAAGTTGCTCTTTAACCTGTTAAGCCCCATTCCCCCGAGGGCGGGGGGAAAATCGCAACATCTGCAAGAAACAGCGTCTGAGGGCTTCTTAACATTTAAAAACCTATTAATGTGTCATACCCACTTAACGGGAAGAAACTCAGCTATCAGACAATATTACCCATTTTTAGCAAAACGAAACATAAGGGTAATAACGAAGGCTCTGAATTAGCCCTGAGCGAAAACATGCTAACACACTTAGCACAGAACTCACGTTAAAATACCCTTATTACTTAGTGTATCTGCACAAACAAGATATCAATTAGCAAGCTGAGATTCCACAGATTCTACAGGTATTAGTATCATTACTGACCGATCCGAACTCGCGACATGAGAAGCTAACGCAGACATCACACCACGTAGCATTAGGTAGCCAACACGGCAATATGTCTTACCTTTGTTGTTTTCTGATCAAAAGTTGTCTTGGCAATGGCATTAAAATGATAAAAACGCTGCTGAAGGTTAATCCATAGGTTAATCCAATGTGTCTGTGTCACTTTGAAATGATTTCTGATAATCCATCAGCAATAAACCTAGTTTTCAGTTTTCAGATTTCAAAGCGTAAGATAGGTTTCGCTTTGGACAAACTGCGTGCGCATAGCTCTGACTTCTCAATGGTAACGTGTGTATGTGGAAATTCCCTTTCGATTCTATTGGCTCTAACGGTTCAAAAGAGTCAATCATCAAAATCGACCAATGGGTTCCCGAGAAACGGCAAATACACCCATTTCCACCCAAATGACCCCAGAGGTCTAAACCTTTCTAAAAAGGTCAAATGTCACTTGTTTTGCATCAATCTTGATACAGGGTACTTATTATATGTTATAGTTTGGATTCCTAAAGCTTTTTGTCTACTATCCCATCATTCAAGGGTGGTTTTCACTATAAGTAATGGTTTATCTTTGGACAGACACTATAATTTACATTTTTTTACTATGTTCAATCTGAATTTACTTTAAAATTTAAAAAAATCTATATTGATTCTGACTCTTCTACATCCAACTCACAGGTTTATCATTGCTTTGAGAAAAAAGATTATTAATTTACCCCTTTTAGAAGTGAAGATATAGTCATTTGTTCTGGGAATGTCATTTTCGAGCCTGAGACCTGAAAAACAGGCTCAGGGCTTAACAGGTTAAATTCCTCTGTGCTCAGGGGACGGAGGACACGGCTACCTGAAGGACTGGCTGTGGTGGGGAGGCCTGCTCACCAGTAAGACGTTTATTTTATTTGTATTTTAAATGTTTTTTTATGTGAGCTATTTCTGAGTGAGTTGTATTTGCTATGTTACGAAGAGTCCAATAATAAGATGGATTTATTAATGAAAAAAGTGGAGATCCCTGTAGCAAATGACCCACCTGAACATGTGATAAAATCCCAATTACTAGTTCAAATTATTTACAGATTATTTGTCAAGCTTTTACATAATTGAGATTTTTTAAAGACAGATTTATGATCAGTTCAAAAAGTTTAAAAATATCATGATATCCAGGGTTTTGTCTGCACCGGGTAACAGTAGCGCCCTCAAACCAAAAGGCAGATTTTCCCCGTCACGTTGTTGTTTACGTCAGGAGACATCTTGTTTACTGGCGTCATGTAATCGAGATAATTGATATATTTTATAAACAAGATCAGAGACACAGTAATCATACTATATCTTTCTAGAGAAACCCTGAAGTTATGACATTGTTGTTTGCTAAAAGCCGTTCTTTGAGCGCATCCTCGGCTGTAAATAAACCTTCTTTAAGCTTAACTAAATAAATGAAAGGTATATTAATGGTTCTGTGTATGTGTGTTTCTGCAGTGGGAGTTGGAGAGGTGTGTAACTTCGCCGCCTACATGTTCGCTCCGGCCACGCTGGTGACGCCGCTCGGAGCCCTGAGTGTCCTCATCAGGTAGCCGTAGCTCTCAAAATATATTCACATCTCAGTTAAAGTATTTTAGTTTCTAGAAATTATGTGTCATGATAGTTCCCCATTTTAGAAATTGAAAAATGAAAGAAAATGGAATAAAACAGACGTATATAAACAGTGAAAAGGTGAAATATAACAAACTGGAATACAAACATGTATACAACCATAAGAATGTATAGAAGAAATGTGCAATACAAAGATGTAATAGAATAAAAAATAGTAAGGTAAGAAGTTAATATATTGGACTAGAGATTTCTTTCCCCATGTTTTGATGATGAATAAATAAGCATATTTGCTGTGTTTCAGTGCAGTTCTGGCACCCTACCTGTTGGGGGAGCAGCTGAACGTGGTGGGGAAACTGGGCTGTTTGTTGTGTGTTTTGGGAAGCATCCTGTTGGTGATCCACGCCCCACAGGAACAGGAAGTGACATCACTACAGGACATGACCGACAAGCTGCTGGACCCCGGTGAGTTTTAGATGAGTTTTATAAACTAAAGTTCAGAGGATCCAATGTTGAGAAACCAAAGATGAAATGTTAAACCAAAGATCCAAGTTTGAGACACCTGTCGCGGCTTCCTTCCTCTGCTCTAATGCAGAATGTTGCTATTGTGAAGTGTTTACTCAAAATAAAATAAACTTTTCACACATTCAACAAAGGCCTTTAGTCAACACAAAATAATAAACAACTTGGGTGGTCTTTCTTTCTTTCTTTCTTTGGCGTCTTTGGGTCTGGTTGCCCATCTCAGTCTCTTTAGAGCAGGGGTGTCAAACTCAATTTCATCGCGGGCCACATCAGCATTATGGTTGCACTCAACGGGCCGGTTGTAACTTTAAGACTATATAAAAATACATATATAAATATTTAATATATTTTAAATAATGTATTATATTACATTATTGCCTCTGCATTGGATTATTATGGGATAGGGTAATAACTTCATAATTAACTATGTCTGAAAGCAGAAGTCTAGGGCAAATAATTGCAAGTCTCTTCAGTGCGCATGTCACAAAATGATTTAAAAAGAAAAGCCACATTCTGGAAAAAAAAGTCAAACTCAAAAAAAAGGAAATGAAATTTAAAAAAAAAAGTAACATTTTGAAAAAAAGTCTAATTTGAGATGCATTGTGGGAGATGTAGTTTATGGGCAACCTGCTTCTGTAAATCGGCATGTAACCGTATAATAAACATATTATATTCTTTGCAAGCTCTTGTGGGGCCACAGAAAATGAAGTCACGGGCCGGATTTGGCCCCCGGGCCTTGAGTTTGACACCCCTGCTTTAGAGCCTTGGAGTTGTAGTAATTTATACTATCTTGACTACATACGTCAATTAGCTTGCCCCTTTTATAAAACAAAACACCGGCTCTAACAAAACCAATTCAATGTTGAGAAACCAAAGCTAACTTACTTAGATTACAGACTTTAAAGTGGTATCATTCTGAACATGTGACTCCAAAATGTTGAATCTTAAAAAGGCTTTTATGTATTGTTAAATTACAACAAGTAAGTCTCTTACTAAATACATTTCCTGCGTCAAAACAAGAAACATGGTCAAATGTAACTCAACATTTGGCAAACAGAGAGTCACCGGCTGTTATATCAATAAAAGATTCACATATTTATTGTATTTAATAACACGTCTTAATTTCTCCTCGGCAGGTTTCCTGGTGTACTTGTCGGCGGTGCTGCTGCTGTGTTCTGTGCTCGTTTTCTATTTCTCTCCTCGGGTCGGTCGCTCCAACATCCTTGTCTACATCAGCGTCTGCTCGCTGCTCGGGGCGTTCACCATCGCCTCCGTGAAGGGCCTCGCCATCGCCATCAACACCGGTGAAATAACAGAATACAGAAACACCATCTCTCTGTTTCTGCTGCATCAATTTGAACTACGGTTTTATTGTCATATGCACAAAGCTACAGTGTAGAAATGGCAATGAAATTCTCCTGACCTGAGCTCCTCCAACAATGCAACATATATAATAACATACAAAATAAAAAGTAATGCAAGAAGTCTATGTACATATGTAAATAGAATATGGGATATACAAGAACAGAATATGAAATTAAATATTGTAAAATAAGACGAAATTAAATGCGATTCTTTGATTTTAAAACATGCGTCATCCTCTCTCTTCTCCTCTGTCGGTAGTGGTTGATGATGTTTCCGTGCTGGCGAACCCTCTCACGTGGATCCTGCTGGTGACGCTCATCGTCTCCATCGTAACACAGGTGAGCTCCAAAGTTAATTTGTGCATTTTCTGTATTGGAAACTTGTACTTGTTACAGAGTATTTTTACAATGTGTGTTAGAGCCATTTTCCTCTCATCATTATGAGAGCTGAGTTTTTGACCGTGTTCTTTTTGTTGTATTTTGATACGGAGAACTTTTAGTTACTTTGAAGCGAGGACGTTTGTCTTCATGTTTGTATGCCGCCATGATCATAGAATAAATCTGATGTGATTCAACGATACAACGATCTCCGCAAAATGTGTTTGAAAGCAAAGAGAGGCGCGTCATAACCCACAACCCCGATAGAGGAAAGAGATTATTAAATGTAGACACGGATTAAAACGCCACAACAATGTGGTATTAGTACTTTTACTTAACTAAAGGATCTAAATACTTCTTCCACCTCTGGCTATGCTCCGGATGTTTCTTCCCGCAGGTGAACTACCTGAACAAGTCTCTGGACACCTTCAACACGCTGCTGGTGTATCCCATCTACTACGTCCTCTTCACCTCCGTGGTGCTGTCCACCTCCATCATCCTCTTCCAGGAGTGGAGGAGCATGAAGCCCGTAGACGTGGTGACGACGCTGGGATCCTTCCTGGTGATCGTGGTGGGCGTCGCCATGCTCCACCTCTTCAAAGAGCTGAAGGTGTGTGTCCACGCCCCACATTCGCCACCTTTAGCTTAGCGGTGGTGACGTGAAGTCATGTGACCGTGCTATAGTTCCTTTATAGCCCAACATTAGCCACCTTTAGCTTAGCGGTGGTGACGTGAAGTCATGTGACCATGCTGTAGTTCCTTTATAGCCCAACATTAGCCACCTTTAGCTTAGCGGTGATGACGTGAAGTCATGTGACCGTGCTGTAGTTCCTTTATAGCCCAACATTAGCCACCTTTAGCTTAGCGGTGGTGACGTGAAGTCATGTGACGTGCTGTAGTTCCTTTATAGCCCAACATTAGCCGCCTTTAGCTTAGCGGGGGTGACGTGAAGTTATGTGACCGTGCTGTAGTTCCTTTATAGCCCAACATTAGCCACCTTTAGCTTAGCGGTGGTGACGTGAAGTCATGTGACGTGCTGTAGTTCCTTTATAGCCCAACATTAGCCGCCTTTAGCTTAGCGGGGGTGACGTGAAGTCATGTGACCGTGCTGTAGTTCCTTTATAGCCCAACATTAGCCACCTTTAGCTTAGCGGTGGTGACGTGAAGTCATGTGACGTGCTGTAGTTCCTTTATAGCCCAACATTAGCCGCCTTTAGCTTAGCGGTGGTGACGTGAAGTCATGTGACCGTGCTGTAGTTCCTTTATAGCCCAACATTAGCCACCTTTAGCTTAGCGGTGGTGACGTGAAGTCATGTGACGTGCTGTAGTTCCTTTATAGCCCAACATTAGCCGCCTTTAGCTTAGCGGTGGTGACGTGAAGTCATGTGACCGTGCTGTAGTTCCTTTATAGCCCAACATTAGCCGCCTTTAGCTTAGCGGTGGTGACGTGAAGTCATGTAACCGTGCTGTAGTTCCTTTATAGCCCAACATTAGCTGCCATGAGCAGAAACAATCCAAATGCCTATAGACAAATATTTAAAGTGAACACAACTAATGCGTTACTATTAGAAGAAAACAAATGTGTTTTGTTAATTTATGTCCTTTTAACCGCCTTCCAGTGCACCATGAAGCAGCTGACCAATCAGCTTTCGGCTCCGGTGGAGAGGGCGGGGCTTGCAGAGGAGGTTTCAGCCAATGGAGCAGCAGCAGCAGCAGCAGCAGCAGCAGCAGCAGCAGCAGCAGCAGCAGCAGCAGCAGCAGCAGCAGCAGCAGCAGCAGCAGCAGCAGTAAGCAGGAATAAGAAGGAGGATAAATACGGACTGATGGACAACATGGTGATCGAGAGTCTTCCTCCCATGAGAGAGGAAGGGCCGAGAGTCTTCATCATCAGCTGAAACTAAAGAAGAAGAAGAAGAAGAGACAGGTTTCGGTTTCCTGTCTAGACTTTGTAGTTCTCTTCTGACTGATTTAAATCTATGGGCACTTTTTATTTTAAATGTTTTTGGTAGGGCTGTAAGTCGATTAAAATAGTTAATCGCGATTAATTGCAAATGAATACCTACCTTAGACTTAGAGGAATATTTTTCAAGTTTTAAATCTTATCAACATATGAGTGGACAAATATGCTTTATGCAAATGTTTGTTTATTATCATTGGAACAATGACAAATATTCTCCTGAATATTCTCAACACAACAATCTCTTCACTCTCTCCCAACCCTGTGTACTTCTCTGCACTGAGCCAGTTGCTCAAACAGACGAGCCTGTTTACAGTTGTCGGCGAAATGCCGCTCCTCTGTCTTCATAACAGTCAAAGCATGAGACTGAAGTTCCCACTGTGGGTCAAAATAATGCGCTGTGATGTGCAGTCGACACGTTGGATGCGATCCGAATTATCTAACGCAGCCCCACGTCCTCCACAATGTTAAGCTGTAGCCACCCATTTAGCTATCGCTGTTGAAAGCTTGCTGCTCGTAGACGTGTCCAGGCGTCTCCCCGGCAAACTTTCAAGCGTGTTCTGCCGCAAGCGAGCGGCAGGTGCGGGGCTGTCAGCATCAGCTGTGTGCTTGGCTTGCTGTTTAAAACACCTTTTTTGTATCCATATCTCTCGCTAGAATCTCCCACCATCCAACTAACAACAACAACAACAACAACAACGTCAAGCCTTTGGGCTCTGAAACTACGGGGCGGGCCGAGGACAAATACACATGCGTTAATCGCACGTTAAAATAATTAGTTGCGTTAAAAAATGTTTGCGTTAACGCGTTATTAACGCGTTAACTTGAAAGCCCTAGTTTTTAGTCATAGTTCACCATTCATGTCCATTATGGAACAAATCACATGTACCTGGATGTCCTGAACCAGAGAGAAACTACTTCACACGGAGTCACTTAATGCGTCTAACGATGGGATGTTTAAACAAATATAATGTAAACGCATTCAAATCATATTAAAGACTGATTTAAATGTGACTCTGGAGGAGGTTTGAGAAATGTTCTGGTATAAATCTATTACTAAGGGGGCCAACCGGGTTACAAGAGACTTGAATAAATGAAATACATGAAAAACAACTACTTAACTACTAAACTGCCGCAAAGGCGCATACAACTCTGATCTGATAATGTGGAGCTATTTTTGTTTTTAGTTTTAACAGCAGCTGCTTTATAAGATGTCACCTGACACCTCTTTGTACAGGGATTATTGTAAATGACTAACAACCTGCAGGTATTTTTAGGACACACACACACACACGCACACACACACACACACACACACACACACCTGCTTCAGTGTAACCTGAGAGCTCAGACTTATAGTGAATGCTGAAGACACTACACCTTAAAAACTGTTTTATTTGTAAATATAATACCTCCTTTTATTACTTGTTTTTTTACTTCTAAAAACAAACAACAAATGATATTCTTAGTACGCAGACAGATGAAGTTGTTGGCAACTATTGTAATAGTAAATATAGTTTAATAAGTTATTTACGAATATTGTTCGTTCATCCTAAAATTCTTTTAGAGCTAAATCAAAATAAATTTGACTTTGTGTTTTCACACATTTTGGATTAAAATTTGATATTTTTTGGACTATTATTTAAAGGACCCATGTCATGCTTTTCTGGTTATTACCCGTCCCCTTGTGTGTTATGAAAGTTTTTCTGCATGTAAACGGTCTGCAGAGTCACAAACCCTCAAAGTGCACCCTGTAGAGAGTAAAACTCTAACACAGAAAAGACCTGTCTATGCTGCCCCAGAACGCCTCGTTGGGGATTTTCTTTTTCCATTGTTTACTTCTTGGGTATAGTGACGTATTTGGGTATAGTGACGGAGCGTAACGGCTCCGCAGATTGGTCCATTCCGCGGAGCCGTTACGTTTGGACCAATCCGCGGACTTCCTCACACACACACACACGGCGGGACGTTGCGAGGCTCGCTGCTGCGAGCAGCGGGACAGTGTGAGCTGGCTCACTGGTGTGGGGTCGGCGAGACAGCGAGACACCGCGGAACTCAGCCTGAGCACACACACAAACTCCCAGCCAGGCTGCGGGTGTGTGTGTGTGTTTCGGGCTGGGTTTCGCTGTGTCTTGCTGTCTCGCAGACGGCCACTGGGCTCACAGGGAGGGGGGGGGCAGGAGCTCCAACAAGCCGTTTAGGACAGAGAGTGAATACACATACTATACAGAGATGCTGTATGAGAAACCAATGTGAGTTTGGAACATTGAACAATATAAATCTATTTTAGTAGACCTCAACAATGGAATTATGATCAGTAGAAATGGCCATGACATGGGACCTTTAACACATTTTTGTCAGCACAACACGACTGAACATGCTTCAAATTTAAATGTAAATTATTTCTATAAAAACTGGTGAAGTCTTTGTATTTCTAAATGTTTTCAATGTTTTTTATTTTAATGCATCTTTATATATTTAATGCATATTGTTTCACTAAAGAAATTAATGTTACATTTAGACTTTTTTTCACTGTTTATTAATTTGGTCCTTTTTTTACAACACTCTTTGCTTTTAATCAGTGGTGATATTTTTAGTACAATTATTATGAGGTGTAATTTAAATATTTGCACCATTTGTATTCTAATTCTTTCTCGGAGGAAAATTACTTTTGATTACTTTTTTTCACTACATGTAGCTTTAATCATTGAACAAATGTAGTTTATAAGATCTGATGTGTTAAATATTAAATATATTAATTATTGTCAGCAGTTGTAACTATTGTCAAATTATAAATTGACATATTAACTGGAAACGTCATTATTAAATTAATTATAATGTCATTGCTCCAGCTTCATCTGAGGATTTGCAGCTGTTTTTAAAGGTTTTTTTGGGGTATGTTTCTCCATTTAAAAGTTACATTTTTGAAGTACTTTTACAAATATATTTTACAGCAGTCAAACGTTTTAAACCTTCATCTTCCTTTAAACCATCATTTATTATATAATTATTAAACGGGTTGTTTCAGCTCTTCTGAAGTGTTTCTAAATGTCCACTTGGTGTCGCTGTGATACAGAACATTAACTATAGTAGTGTTACTGTTACAGGAGCAGAATATGGATGTAGTGTCTCTACTTTAAAGAGTCCTCTCCTGCTGATGTTCAGGTGTATATCAGTATGTAGTGTCTCTACTTTAAAGAGTCCTCTCCTGCTGATGTTCAGGTGTATATCAGTATGTAGTGTCTCTACTTTAAAGAGTCCTCTCCTGCTGATGTTCAGGTGTATATCAGCATGTAGTGTCTCTACTTTAAAGAGTCCTCTCCTGCTGATGTTCAGGTGTATATCAGTATGTAGTGTCTCCATGCTTTAATGTTAAAAAAACAAGCACTATAACTCTGCTTATGATGGAATAACTCCTTTAACATCAAACTGAAAATAAGTATTTTTTATGAATTTCCTGTGAAATATTGAGTAAAAAGAGTGACGCAGGTTTTCCTCCCCATGATGGTCAGCTCCAATAATTGCAGTTATTATAGCGGCTATAATCGCAGCTCTATCTGCGGCGGCTGATAACGAGTCTCTCTGTCAACCAAAGGACCTTAATTACATTCTGCACACTTTGATTGGCTTTCCCTAATTCCCTGACAGCCAATCGGCTCCTCTCGTGATTGACGCTCACGTTAAACTCCCATAATCCTCTCTGAGAGCGTGAACTCCTTCTTCCTGTTAGTCTCTTCTCTTCTTATCTGACGGTTTTCAACAGATGTTTTCTGCATAAATCGTCCGTAAATCGTCCGTCATGTGAGATATTTATAATCCCTCGATACAAAGCGGAGCTCATCACATATACGAGAGTGGTTGATTAACATTAATGTGGTTATGTAAGTGTGTATTGTGACATTACATATGATTTCTGCTCCTCTGTGTTCCTCCCACACAGAATATCATGGGCTGTGAAACATGTCAGTAATGTGTTCAAAGAGGAATAAGTTGCTGTATTTAATGTGTAAATGAATCGTTGGAAACTCAATTTTTAAGGAAATAAAAGAGAAGATTTTGCTCTAAAAATATCTTTATAACTTTGGAAGATATAAACCAACAAAAATAACTGAAATTGTTATTCATCCACCCAAATTCAACTTTATTTTTCCATCTTTATTGTGTTCAAATCTCATGTATACATGCTTTTTTTAAATAGCATCCTACGGAGGCCGACAGGTGCAAACGTGCTGCATCTTCAGAAACGATGCAGATATAAAAACCCAAATGTTCCACATGAAGAAACATCTTCAGCAACTTGACAACACATGCAGCTTTTAGAGGACATTCAGCAACTTGAGGAGACATGCGCAGCGTTTACCAAAAGCTGCAGAAAGCAAACGCTGAAGAAGCTCAAAACACAACGGAGACCAGGGGACACTAAAGAGTGACGCACACAGCTGGAGACCAGGGGACACTAAAGAGTGACGCACACAGCTGGAGACCAGGGGACACTAAAGAGTGACGCACACAGCTGGAGACCAGGGGACACTAAAGAGTGACGCACACAGCTGGGATTATAAAGCTGAACAACTGTCTCTGGCCCAATCCCAAACCGCCCCCTACACCCTACCCCTACACACTACCCCTCCGTTTGCGCGTTCGCGCGGAGGGTCCGCCACATTAAGTGCTGTTCCAAACCAACGAGTGTGGAGCGGTGTGGAGGGGGAGTGGGCTATCAAGCCCTCAAACAGCGAGTCTGCAGCGGTGCTGACTTGAGACCGGTCTCTACCTGACCGGAGTCACGCTGTGTGTGTCCATCAGGAAACACGCTGTTAAAAAGTAGTTCCAGCAAACATCCACTGATAAACTGCGATGTTAACAACGTCATGATAACCTCATATTTTTTTAACTTAGGATCGTACCTGTGTTTAGTCTAGAAAAAGGTAAATGTGTGCATTTTATTATAAAGTTGTGTATATTTACAGACTGTTGCAAAAACTAAGAAGCTTATAAACATCAGGTTTAAAACTAAAAGAGCTTTACAGAAAAAGTAACACAATGAAAGATGTTTGTAGTTGTATTTGAGTTATTAATTTACATTTTTGGTCTAAGAGATGCTGATTTGAAACCGTTGTTACATACAGTTACGGCATTTCCTGTTTCTGCCGGAGAGAGGGGAGGCCGTCCCAAAGCTTGCCGCTGTATT